CACACAACCCTGTGAGCTATGAGCAGCTTTTCCCAATTTACAAGTAACAACACTAAGATGCCCTGAGTGTAACTGACTTACCTGCACCAATTAGTCATCCAGTGTCAGAAATGGAAAACCTAGCTCTTCTGCATTTTCACAGCTATTACTAATTCACTCCCTGCACACTGAGCACCTTTGCAAATTTCATGATCAAAAACAAGACTTTGCAATTTCCTTTAAAACACATGATGAGTAGAAAAACAAAATGAGTGAAGGGAAGGAGAAGCTAACCAAAACTAAATAAAATTGATATTACACATACTATATTATTCTAGCTATACTCAATGTAGGGATTGCTTAGACATTATTTCAGAAGAATCCAAGCTAAATTGTCAAATTCACCAAATACAGTATCTCAGACAGGTCAAAACTGTGTTCTCATTGCAATTGTTGAAAGGTAAAATTTTGAGTACACGCACTCCAGTACTATAGGTATGACTCCAAGATAAATGATACTTTGTTTCCATTAAAATCCAGACAGGTTTAAACCAGTAATACACTAACAGACACTAACATGCCTAGCTCCTCTCCTTAAGTAGACTGCAATAATCCTTTTTGATCTTTTTTATTTTTGTAATCAAATATTTATGCACTATTTTGGTGACATATAACACCCATGTTTTTGGTAACAGTGTTTTACTCTATAGTCTCTGAATGATTTTTTAATGTCAAAGGATTATCACAGGGAAAATAAAAACAAGTAGAAAGAAACAGCAACACTAGATAGTGACTTTAGATGTTCTGACAGTCACGGGAAGGAGGGAAACGGAGCTCGACTCTTAACACAAAGGTAACTGAGGATTTTAAATGAAGAAGAGACAGGGAGTGCCTTAGCACCTTTTCCATTGCTATTAGAAAATACCTGTGACTGCAAACCATGCAAAGAATATGGCTATATTTGACTCACCATTCCAGCAAATCAATATCAAGATACAAACATCTGGCAAACCCTCCTTGTGTCATCAAATATCTTATAATTCACTAACATTTCCTTTGCATTCATTTTGACTTTCTCGTTTACTTTTATTTTCATTATATTTAGATACAAACTTATTAATTCATGATTTCACGAGTATAACTACTATCAAAATCAAACAAAAATTTTAGATTTCAGAAAAGCTCCAGTTTACCTTGCACATTGATTCTTTTCTGTCATTCCGTGACTATGTATGTATCACGCATGTATAATGAGCATTGTTGTGGTTATTATGATTCTTCAATGAAGATTAATTATGAAAGAGAAGAGCCAAAGAGGGAATTCTTAGATATGCATAGGAATGCAGAATGTCTCACACACAGTGAGGCTACCTAAGCCTTGATGTATATATGTTAAAAGTGATGGCTACCAAGATATTTTTCCATGTTACTTTGCAATAGATCAGTTTGGGACTCTACAACTCATGTGGAGGGAGAGATTTAACTCACGTTTGAACTTAAAAAGGTTAAAATCTAATTCCATTATATTAATCATGATATATTCTAACATATTGATTAAAATTATCAAAATACCTTGTATTATAACTGCCCTCAGACTTGGCAGTAGATGTCTTCACCACTGAGCCATCTCTTTGGGTCTCAAAAACTTCTGGCAGCTTTTAATGTTTGAAATAATAAGTTGCAAGAAATCCAGAGAGGTCCCATGTACCTTTTTCGCACTCTACATCACAAGATCGTTCAACTGGCATTTCACTGCTTGTCAAAGTGGACACATACAAATTTAATAGCTGGTGATTTAATAAACCTCAAAAAAAAATTCTGGAGTTTCTTTCTAAAAAATAATTGGAATAAGGCGAACTTGATAATTTTCACCAAATACATGAAACTATAGAAATTACATAAGAAAAGCAGAGATGCAGGCTCGGTTCTGCACAAAGAAGCCTCCACATCCACAGATGCTTGCAATCAATACAGTCGTTACCTGTGGCCTACAAAGCTTTCAAATTATGATTTAGTGACCTGTGGCACAACCAAATTTACTTTTATAACTAAAAAGGATATTAAATAACCTTAGTCTTTTTTTTTTTATTATTTGCAAAATATACCTCTTTTGAAGAGACAGGCAAACTTACTCTGATATGAACATCAAGCAATATATACATGGTAGAGCATCATGTAATGACCCTTAGATATGCACATTGTAATGTCTCAGTTTAAAATTGCTTAAAAGTAAATATTTTAAATGCTTACCCAAACTAGCTACAAAGTTAAAAAAAAAAAAAAAAAGTATGTTTGATCAATCCTTTAAATTCTGAGTTCCTATGTGAGGTAAAATGTAAGTTTTATGTGTATCTTAGCGAAACTGTTGTATGTCGCAAAGTCTCCAAAATAACTAGCCAAGGATTTGATAATATCCGTATGATATTGTTTCCTTTGTTCAGTTTAGCATCATTACTATAGCTCTACCCTACTGCTTCTCATTCAGAAATTCTGTTTATTGTTTGTGAGAATCATTCTTCATGCTTCTCTTTTCTATCAGTTTCCCGTCTCTGTAGAATACATGTGGAATTTCTCACAGTTTATTGACACTGAGCATTTCTCTTCTGCACGCACAGAACACCACTTCCTGTCTAGTTGGCATCTTCTTGTCACAAAGTTTATCACACACACATGTTTTCCCATGTGGCAGACCAACATCCTTGGGAGAGAGAATAACATGCTGGCATTAAGTGAGAGTTGTTAAAGAATCATATCGCGATTACAGAATCCCCTTGTAGGAAAGGGAAAGAGAGGGAAAATGAAAATATTCAGAGGGTAAGGGAAAGAAAGTGCGAAAGCCCCAGGACTAGGTGTATATAGCCATTAAGATTTACCTAAACACTTTGTGTGCTAGCTGTATAACTTTATCTTCTAGTTTCTAATCTCTAACTGACAATAACCCCTTGAGGAACAGCTATAGAAATTAAAGTAATGAACTGCAAGACAGTTTTTTTTAAATATATGCAAATAAATATGTGTAAGAAGTATGGTTTTTCCGCCCGCTGCCTCTGGTCTTGTCCTGCTGCCACGCCAGCCCCAAATAACACACATAGACTCTGTATTTGATATAATGCTGTTGGCCCATTATTTGTTTCTTATAGGCTAGCTCTGTCTTAAGTATTAACCCATTTCTATGTATTTCCACGTGGTCTCCTTACCAGGGAGTGAGGCAGGCGTCTGGTCTCCCTGGTCTCTCAATGCTGCCTCTCCCTACTACTTCCTCTTTCCTCCTTGTCTCCTAGTCCCTCCTATCTTCCTTTCCTATTGGCCAACAGTGCTTTATTTATTAACCAGTATGAGAAACATATACAGAATGACTCCCATCATCCAAGGGCAACAACCGGCATAGAGTTAGAGATACTGATGACATAAATGTTGTTCCCAATACACCTCACAATATGTCCTTGGCTTGGGTTTGCAAGCACAGTGAGATGCTGTGTTAATGATTACAGTGTGTGAACACACACTTCCTCAACACACGGGGGTTTTGCTTCATGTTATCTAAGACAAGTATTTTTTTTTTTTATGTTAACTTTGCTGTCAGAACATTCTAGCATTTCTACCAGCATCCAGTAGACTAACCTTGGAAAGGAAAGGAAAGGAGAAAAACTATCTATGTCCTGTTAACAAGTCACTTTTCCTTTAGGGAATATAAAACTCCGAGAACACAATTTTTATACTCCATTGAAGATGGTGCCTGTCATCTTAGGTGATACACAATTCATGGTAACTTATAATTTCCTTTCATATCAGCAGGCTAAGAAAATGGGGGTTGTCTGATCTATGGAAAACTTCTGTAGCCTCTTGAAGAAGTTTCACAATTCAGGGAAAAGTTGCCTCTCATAATAACTGAAGTCCTGATATCTAGGCAAATTCCAATCGTTTTGTGTATACAGTCTTGTGTGCACAGCACACAATATTTCTGAGAGAAATATTGTTATGCTACCCACTTTTCAAATAACCCCGAGACATGGAGCAGTTTGATGATTTCTGAGGTCATTTTCCAACAGATGCAGAGCCAGGAGCCCAAAACCCATATTCCCTAGCTCTCGATACCACACCTTTCTCACTGTGCTATTCACCCAGCCTGAGCAAGTGCTAGTAAAAATAAGGAAATAAGTCTTGGATTGAGGTAGTGGTTTTTTTTTTTTTTTTTTTTTTTTTTTTTTTTTTTTTGTTTTTGTTTTTGTTTTGTTTTGTTTTTTTTTTCCATGCCGCATCAAATGCCTTTTCCATGGTTGCTTACAAACTTTCCTGAGAACATCATCTTTACATACACCAAAATAAACACCTTTTACTGGACGAAAATGGTCTTATTTCTCAGTCACCACTTCTCTCCACTTTCTAGAAAAATAGAGAACCCTTTAACGTGGAGTATTGTATCTGCTATTGTAAGGCAGTGTGGATACTGACAAAAATCTCTCTGTGCCTCAGCATGTCAGCACATTGCTCAAAAATAAATTTATCAGTTAAATGCAGCCAGGGGATTTAGTTTATCTAAGTGTGCTACAAAGAAAAAATAGTTTACCATTGTTTTTACAGATTGAGGTAAATCTGACATATCATTGACATATGCTGTGGATTTAATTTAATACCACAGTACAGATGTGGGCTCTGATAATTTTTTTTTTTTTTTTTTGAAATCTAGGCTAAGATGAGTAGAGTAGTTTCAATATTTATAGGGTTGAAAATGCAGAGGTTGCATAGGAAGCATTTTAATTAAAACAACATTTGCCTGTACGTGGTCAGAGTAAGAATGGAGAGGAAACCTCCCAAAGCCTTACTACTGGTTTCTTATACTCAACTGGGGTTTTCAACATATTCACACAGTTTTGGCACAGTTTGGCTACCCCATTATTTGCCTTTTACTTTGAGATAATACAAAATGTACTTCATCATTTCTTTGGATTTTTTTTTTTTACCTTCTCCCAAATAAGCACAGATGACTCTTTACAGCTTGCTTTTGTAATTGTGTGTTTTAGGTATCCTGGAGATAACATCAGTGGAAATTGGAGTCGTTGCAGTCAAAGCCATTAACAGCAACTATTACTTAGCCATGAACAAGAAGGGGAAACTCTATGGCTCAGTAAGTAGCTGGCTTTTGTTTCTAAGACACATTGCAGTAAGTTAATATTCTGTTGTCATTTGATCACCACTAATAGGATTCACAGGGGGAGGGGGGCTGGTTACAAACATCTCCAAGGCCAGCAAAGCAGCTTGTTCAACTCTACATTCTACGGAATTGTTTGCCCTTGAGTCTACTACACAGGCCATTACTAGCATTTGTGAATGTTCAGAACAGTAAGACAATCAGACTCTGTCTCACCAAAACATCTGGATGAAGTAGCATCGGGGCTGGACACACAATTTAAACAAGAATTACTTAAAATAGACAACTTGGATGGAATAGAACTTCATATATTATGAGTATCTGCCACCGCTGAAGAGAATACTGTGATCAGATGTTACTTTTTTTTTTTAATCTTAAATGGAGAAACATATCAAGAGAATCATGATTGTTTCCCAAGTTATTCAATGAACCCTTGGATTGTACTATGCAATAGTTATTAATTATAATTATGCATGAACATTATAGATATTATGTAAAGACAGAGGAATATATTCACAGTAGGGTATACTATCTACAAAAGTACAGATACTTTTTCAGTATGGTCCTCTAGAAACCTTGGGTAGATTAATATCTACAAGTGTTAAGTATTTTAAATGTCACCTTTTCAAACTCAAGTCAAATTAATTTAGAACAGCTCTTAGACTAGAGTCTCATATAAAATAAAATAATAGTTGTTTATAATTAAGTGCAATAATAATTAAAACAGAATTATACACAGTATATCGATTATGCTACTTAGATTTTTAAAAGAAATGGTAGTTAAACATATGGCTGGCTGCTATGTGTCAGATATTTTTTTGGCCTACCTCCCAAAGATGTAAAAGGAAGAAGTATATAGTCGCACATGTTAATGTACACTTGTGATCACAGCACTTGGAAGGCTGAGGTTGGAAGATAACAAGGGCTAAACTAGCCTGGGACATGTAGGAGAACCTGCCCCAAACAAAGCAAACCACAACCCACGACAAAAAGAAACTTCTCTCATGAGTTCTAAAAGGCATGCTAATCTACCAGTAAAGAGAAAAAGATTTGAAGGACAGCTTGATATTCTCTATTTAGTAAACAATAGCAGTAGGTTCACTCCTGGGGCCTGTAAGCTCTCCAGCCATGAATTTTTGGCCAGTTTTATAGCACAAGGCATGTGTTTCCTCCTGTGGAATGGGTCTTATATCTAACCAGAAAATGGTAGTTATTCCAATAGTATTTATACCATTATTGCATTCATGGGCATCTCTTGCTACACCAGTCATTGCAATTCACAGGGTTCACAGACCAATTAGACCAATGATGGATTTTTCTAGCAGCCTACATAATACTTTTGAGTACCAAAACTAGCTAGCAGCAGGGAGGAATGTCCCCAGTTACTACAACCTAGATTTCTTAAACATTAGTTCTAATGTTTCACCTGTATCTCATGAATGTCTAAAGCCATCCTCCAGAGATTATAGCTATGGCGCATCCCAGTTGCATCCCAACTGTCAAAACACCTACGATGGGAAGACTGACTCAGGCATATTTCTTTTTAAAAATATATTAAAGCACACTTCTTTAAAAAAAATACTGACTTTTAAATTCATTTTGGGGAGGAAAAATTCGCACCCAGTGTGGAATCTCCAATATGAAATTACCCGAAACAGTCCCAATCTTCCTTTTGAAAGAATTGTTACATTTGTTTTGTCTCTATGTATATGTGTATGTGAGACGGTAGGCATATACCACAATGTACATGTAGAGGTCAAAATACAACTTGAAAGAATTCGTTCTCACTTTCCACCTTGTGGTTCCTGGGTATGGAACTCAGGTCATTTAGTCTTTGAGATAAGTGTCTTAGCCAATGAACTGTCTTACTGGCCCTTCCTTTCTTCTTCTTTAAACTGCATGCCCTCTTAATAAGTATGAAAAACAACTATATTGCTTGAAATACATATAGTTTTGGACAGAGAGATGAATAAGAATAAAAAAAATTAAGTAAGTTCGTAAAAGATTTAATTTTTTCCAATGAAAAAATTTTCAATTTATTATAAAAATCATCTTAGATAATCTATATTTTGTTCTTAATTTCAATCATATTACCATAGGAATTTGGCATCTAATTGTATTTTACAAATGAGAAACACACACTATTATTCAGTCCCAGGAATGTAAAAATAAACCTACACTCTTAATGAGTATATGTAGTTTCATTATTGTGTTCTGAATTATCTATACCACAGAAACCTGAAAATTTATAATCCAGAATTTAACCCTGGGGCCTGGATCACTGGTTCAGTGACTAGAAAGACTGCTTCTTGATTTTGCAGAGGACCCAGGTTCGGTTATCATCACCCACATGGTGATTCACAACAGCCTGCAACTCAAATTTCAAGAGGCCCGGATTCCCTCTTCTGATCTAAGTGGGTTCCTACTAGAATGCGGCACACACAAACTAATACAGGTTCACATGCCAATACATAAACATTAAAAGTAAATAAGTCCTTTGCAAATTGAAATTGGAAAATGCAAAGACTCGTGAGATGGAAAAAAATGTCCAATCAAAGCTTACATCAAAATGTGCCACCGTGCTTTTATGGGAGATGGAGAGCAGAACCTCTAGAGGCTGTGGGTCCTTACCTTCTGGACTACTTGAATTGTACCAAGAGCAGAGGGATATTTCTTTAGTTTCTTTACACCTGCTATTAATTTCAGGAGAAGACACTGAATTTGGAAAGCAGATAAGAGAAGATTCTTGACCCATCAAAACTCCCTAAGGCCACATGCTACTTAGGACAGTGACAGAATGTTGTGGGTATAGATGAACATCCAGTGAGACTCTCTGGATGCATTTTCAATTACTGTATTCATAATTAGTTTACATGATGATAGACAAAATAAGGCATCCCCCCCCCCCTTAAAACAGGGTCTTACAGAGCAAAGGCTGGCCTGGAACTCACTACGTGGCTTTACTTTGGATCTGCTTGCCTTCACATTCCAAGTGTTTATTTATAGGTGTATGCCTCCATGCCTAATATACAGAGTACTAGCAATAAAACACAGGGCCTCATCATGCATTCTGTGTAAGAACTCTCCTAGGTAAGCCACATTCCCAATTCCCAAAAAAAGGCATTTCTATATCTTAGTTTTAAAACATTCCTTGAGTTGATCTTTAGATAGATGATGTTTGTAAATGCGATGAGCCCACATTTCTGGTGATTCTCGCTCCTATAGGACCTATGGTTAACATTATGAAAGACAAGACTATATGCAATACTGTCCCCTATAACATATAAATATTGTTATTGTGATATCTACTTCATGACAATCATTCCAGGCTCTTAAACCATGTTATATTCAAAGCACATCAGCTTTTAAAGGGCCAGAATATGTGGCCGTGGTGATTAATCAAAGATGAGTCAATGTGTTTTCAAACACAGAATCCATTTTGTGGTTAGGAATTTTGTCTCTTCTGTTGTTGGCACTGTATATGAAGTGAGCAACTTATATAAAAAATGGAAGCTACAACACAATGGACTGAGGCCCATTAGATGCTTTATATAATATTGGAATCACGTATCATCACCATACAAATAAACGTGTTTTCCCTTTGCAGAAGGAATTTAACAATGACTGTAAGCTGAAAGAGAGGATAGAGGAAAACGGATACAACACCTACGCATCCTTTAACTGGCAACACAATGGAAGGCAAATGTACGTGGCATTGAACGGAAAAGGAGCTCCCAGGAGAGGACAAAAAACAAGAAGGAAAAACACCTCTGCTCACTTCCTCCCGATGGTGGTCCACTCATAAAAGGAGGCACTGTTGGTGGTGGATGTAGTACAACCAAAGACTCTTTGGCCAGGAAGAGTTGGAGTTGGTACCTTCACAGAACGCTGTGGTGGAAAAGGCAAAGACATACCAGAATTCAGCTTGCTTAAAGGAAAGAAGGCTTTGGAGGTTTTTGTACTCACTGCTGACATATGAAGTTCTTTTCATTAGCTCTATGTAATGCCTTATACCCAAGATATAGGCAAATCAAATGGGATGGAAGTTATACCCAAGTGAACAATGTTGTGACTGGGTTTTTTTTTTTTTTTTTTTTTTTTGTTCTTTCTTGTCTTTTTTTTGTTTTTTGTTTTTTTTTTTTTTTTTTTTTTTTGTTCTTGTTTGTTTTTTTAAGTTTTTGTTTTTGAACTTCTGAGATAGAACTTAAAGGACATGGAACAATCTGTTGATCTGTTGAATGATCTTTGGGAAAGTTATTTATGGAATATGAACACATATCAAAGACTTTGATTGCTCATTCAAGCCTGATGATTCAATGAGCAGGAAGACACGCAAGCATTTACTGATTTACTGGAAAGCTCTTGGGTCATATCATATGCACAACCAAAGGAGCTTTGGGTGTGGCACCATGGAAGAATTGGATCAGATTTACAAATATAAACATATTAGTGTGAAACTGTTCTAACAATACAAATAGTATGGTATGCTTGTGCATTCTGCCTTCATCCTTTATTATTCCTTTCTAAGTTATTTATTTAATAGGATGTTAAATATCTTTTGGGGTTTTAAAGAGTATCCTCAGCGCTGCCCTCTGATTTGCCTTCTAATTTTTTTTTTTTGGCACCCTATTCATGTTCATGACAAAGTGTTTTAAAAACTTGGCTAACACTTCAGAAATAAGAGATGAGATCAAGGGAGCCGTACAAGTGCCCCACCAGTTGACTTAATTTGCACTTCTGCAATAAGAACCATTAGTGATGACTATGGCAGAGTTCTACTATAGCTTAAAGAACAGATGCCTGCTATCATTTGCCAATACTTATCAGTCCTGAGGCTTCGTTACCTAAAGTCATTGAAGGCCAAATTCTCTTCCATTGCCTTATTTCATCTACATGACTATACCAAAAGAAGGAAAATGAGTTGTTATATTTTAGGCTAACTTTTTTTTTTTTTTTTAAACTGATGATGTCTCACTATAGGTCACTGTGGCAAATGATGGAAAGGTTATCTGCATATACAAGAGCCCTTTGTAAGTCCCACAGAATGCTTCTCCCCAAAAGGAACTAAAAGGAAACTTGGAATGAAGTGCAACTCTCCCAGGGGCTAAAACTGAGCAAATACATTCTGGTATATGTGTAACCACATACTGAAACCTGTTCAAGCTGTATGATCTAGTCTTTTACAAAACCAAATAAAGCTTGTTTTCTGTACATTTAAAGTGTTCTAGAAGGTTCCATAATATAACCACATCAAAATTCATTTTCTTAGAGCAGGTATAGAAAGCAATACATAAGTGTACTATTCACTGTCACTTTGTACTTCCCTAAATAAACACATAAGCCTTATTTGCAGTGTCTGTAGTGATTTTAAAAATGTAAAAATCATTATTTGTTCTAAATATTTTAAAGGATAATTACAAGAATATATTGATGCTGCAGTCTTATCTCCTTATTTCTTGTTTGGAAAATTGTTTATTGTGTTGTTTGTATGCAGTATTTTGGTATGAACAATTGACTCACCAAATGTCCTTTTTACTAAAAATTTAACCTATATAAAGGCTGGTGATTTGGGGACCTCTTCTAACATATTTGTGCTGATGCTTAGTCAGTGAAAATCAGTTACTTAAAATATTAAGTTAAACATTAATCAGTTTTTTGAGAACATTTCCATGAAGTAATCCAACAAAGGTCATATTTTATGATTTCTTCAAAAAGCTGTTATTTCAAGAGAAATGCACAGATGCACAGTGCTTTGGTTTATGGGTATAGTTGCATTTCATAGTATTTTTCTTTCAACTAGCTTTGTGACAAATGGGATTTTAAAAATGTATACTTTTTGTGGTTGAATTTTGTATGTTAAAATTTAATTGGTAAATGAGTCTGAGAGCTCTAATGTAATGCATCTCTAGAAAAACTAGTTATCTCTTTTTTCTTTATTTTAAAATAATAATTTTATTTGACACATGAACGTGGACCACCCACAACCAAAATTAAATGTTTGGGGAGACAAACTATAGTATTCAATGACCAAAGTTACAGCAAATAGGGCAGATGTTGGATTCTTATTTCACATTGCCATTTAGATTACTAAAGAGACTACGTGTAAACAGTCATCATTATAGTACTCAAGACATTAAACAGCTTCTAGCAAAATGTATCAAAGCTTGCAGAGTCCAAAAATAGGAAACATCTTTCCCCGTCCCCCACCCTCCATCTTTCCCTGTATACATCCTAACAGAGATAAATACAGAAACGATTCGATAAGGAGTGAGGATTCTTCCGCATTAAAAAAAAAATCATCTTTTTTTTGATGTTGATACTCACTTTTACAACTACTGAAAGAAAGGAAGTCCAGTCCTAAATGTTGTGTTCTTAGGGAAAAAAAAATAAACATCAAGACTTTGGGGGCTCTGCCTCTGTGGGGAAGGTGGGCGCTAGTCCACTGTGCTCAAATGTATCGTGTATCACTCACTGATACAAGGCCGTGTGAGCTGTAAGCGCTGGCACTGAGACTCCTGAAAGATATAGGCATTCTCTCCTTCTACTCCCAAAAGGCTGAACAGTGTATATTATGTTGCATTTAAATAAAGGCAATAAAAATGCTGGGAAAAGAAAATAAAAATATTGTCTTTGTTTTTGTTGTTTTGGCTTTTTTGTTTGTTTGTTTGCTTGTTTGTTTTATTGGCCTAAATCTCTACCTGGTAAGGAAAGTATCTCCAGAGTTGTGTGCATGGCAGGATGTGGCTAAATGCCCCACAGCCCCAAACAACAACAACAGAAAAAAAATTACTCAAACATTTGTAAGGTTTCTTTAATGCTTTACATGTGTGAGTCGGCTATCCTTACCCTAATAACAACCAAATGCTTTCGGTTTTCCTAACTACTCAGGTCCACCTAGTTTACACAGTGGATAAAGAAGAATGAATTGAAAACAAGGATGGCCTGTGCACCAATGAAAGGCTTTTGGAGGAAAGCCAGGAGCTGCAAAATCAGACTTCCAGGGGATGGAATACACCAATGAATTTGATTTGAAAAGTAGGCAGAAAAAAGAAAAAAACCCCAACATAATAATGAAACTTGATTCCAGGGTTCATGCAAGTTTGTGGACATATTTCCAGAGTGGATCAGTTTTATATGACACAGTTCTAGTCATTAGAAAGCTGTTAATTCTTGGTTTGAGTATTCAGTAATGTAGACAAAATTTTCATATGAGTAAGTTGCTATCCCTGAGTGTGTGTGTGTGTGTGTGTGTGTGTGTGTGTGTGTGTGTGTGTGTGCATGAGATAATGACCTGTAGTTTAGAATAGCATGTATGGATATAAAAAAAACCTGTGATAAGAGCTCTGTCTACATCGACAGATGAAACTTTAGGATTTAAGCTAAGGTATGAAAATGATTTACCTTGGAGGAATACTGGGGAAAAACATCAGAGTTCTTCTGGAATCGGAAAATCAAGCGCCAAACACTTGCCCTCTCCTTCTTTTCCTCTCAGCCGATTGACTATAGACAGCTAGGGGCTGCTTGCTTCCAGATTGTTTCTTTCCAACTCCAGAATCCCAAATTTTCTCTTGTCAAGATGAAAAATTGAAGCATCTTAGGCATGGCTCTTACTGATGTGTTTTGGATGAGTTACTAATAAACTTCAGGAGAAGCCTATTAGCATGCCAAGGGATTTAGGCATTATGAAGAGCCAGTCTTCACTCATGGGACCACAAAGAGGCAGGGTACAGTATTTAGAAGTTCATACACAAGCGTAAAGAACTAACCACTAAACTGAGGAGAAAGAGAGGAAGGAGAAAAATAATAAATTTTTTGTACCTGGTAGGCAGGTAAAAAACTGGAGAATTATATGTGCTTATAATATAATATAATATAATATTATATTATATTATAATATAATTTTAGTCAATTCCAGTCATCTGCCATTTAGTTATCCAGATTAATTTGTATAGATGTAAAGATCTTCCTCTTTTGTGCAGTTTTAAAATGAAAGTAATATGTTTGCTTTGTGTCAAGCCAAGAATAGGGCCCTCTGTGGCTTTGCTTGCCTTGGAGAATAATTGATGGAATGAGACAAGCAGCTGATCCTCTAGTAAGCATCAGCTTGTATCATAATGATGCTGTAAAAACTTCTTTAAAATGCCTCCCGTGAACATGTGCTCATGTTCTTGAGAAATCAGAGTACAAAAAAGTTGAATACCCAATATCATTTATTGTTTTAATTGTAGAAAAAAATGGAAAAAAATGTTACCTGTTTTAATGTATTGTGTATACATTCAACAGGAGACAAAAGAAAACATTACAACCTACATTCCTCTTCCCTTTTGTAGATTAGGAGGAAACATCAGAAATTTCCTTGGTAAGTAAACAATCTACTGAAACACATTTATAAACACCATGCATTAGTTAAAACGGAATAATCATGATCAAACTAGCAGGATCAAAGGAGCTGGTTCTATTTCTAAGTGGATAATAACGAACATTTCCATGAGTCTGCATCATGATAGCAGCTAAAGGCAACAATTCCAAACTCTGAAAGAAGCCATATGCCTACTGAACATGCATGTGACGTGTATTATTGGCATGATTTTATTACCCTCCACAGAAGAGCCTATATGCATTTTTTTTAACTCAACCAATTGCATCCTCTAGAGATGAGCACAGCAAATGAAGAATCAAAACACCCCATGTTCCTCATTACAACTGTAAATTGAACATATGCCTTTGTACAACGTAGGCAATGACCCCAGCTGCAGGATAACCAACTGCAGGGCGGCCTTAACCCTCCTAAGGTTTGGTTTTAATTACCTTATACACATCTTAAATGCCTAAATCATCTTACAATTTTCTAAATTATTT